GGCGCCGGGCGCCTCGGGAAGGGGCGCGGCAGCGGGCGTCGGGGAAAGGGCACCTGTTCCTCCGCGCTCGCCGGAGCCCTGCGGGTTATTTCGGCTACGCTTAGGGTCTTCGCGCAGCCTTCTCTCTGCCATCCTCCAGCCTTCCTAGGTGAAGCTGTGGGGCTGGGATTCCTTGAGGACAGGAGGCAGTGGCTCAACTTTCCCAGAACTGGTGCGAGGTCTTCGCCGATCCTGAAGGAGCCCACCAAAGGGGCGCGCCGGCTTCCTCTTTAATCCCTCTCGGAGGCTGGGAAAGCTTCAGTTGACTTTCTGGAGCCGATTAAGGGTGGTCTGAAATGGCAGAAGTTGGGCCAGGTCGGGAGAGCGGCTTTGGAACCTTGCCATGTGCTTAAGTAAAGGGTTCTGTGCAGAGTTCCCTGTAGGCAGGTGCTTTTGGAGCTGAGCACCCACCAGCTCAGGAGAGGAAGACGAAGATTCCTGGGGTGTTGAGCGCTCTCTCTATCTCTCTCTCCCTCCCTCCCTCTCCCCCCTTCCCTCCCTCACTCCACCTCATTGTCTTTTAACTATTTAAAGCCAGTAGTTTAAATTTCTCAGAATTCCCTGGTGAACTTTAAATAACACTTGACTGTTCCGGATAAGGAGTGTATCTCATCCACCTTTGTTATCTTTTTGCATCCACTTTATGAACAATCACACGCTTTAGATTTCAGCTTTGACTTGGCGAGTAATTTATCTGTGCAAAATTGTGTAGCTGTGCCATTGCCAAAGGTTCCTGGGTCCTACATTTGCTACCTGAGCTGTGTAGGAAAACGGGAGAGATTTTAGCTGCACCTCCGGTCCCTTGCAACAAAATAGTCGTGATGTTTCCAGTTGTCCCGCAATCCTTTGAGCAGAAGTTAGGAGCCAGGACAGACATTGTATGATTTGTGACTATCGGATAAACATTTGGTGGCAAGTAGGCCGCCTGGGCTCCACCTTTGTTGATTTTAGGCAGAACAGTGCTTCCAAGCTTAAGTTTCCTCATCTTTAAAATGGGATATGCTGTCTTTCCTGCTCTTGCAGAGGATTGTGAAGTTCCGAAGAAAAAAATGTACCCAAACGTGACTCACACAAAGATAGCCCAGACAAAGGAAGTATCTTGCTAATATTTTTACCTCTCCATTCAATAAGTTATAACTTGGGCCTAGTACACCCACACTGTACTGAATGACTAATCTCTTCACAAAGGTACATGTATTCTCCACTAATAATCCTCCCTGCACTGTCTCATACAAATCAGAAGTCAATAAAGTCTTAAATGTTGCAGGTAAACATACTTTTTAAAAACTCCCTTGAAACATAAGCACAAGAAATTCATCCCAATATATTATTACATATTCCCAACTCCAGTTAGCACATATTATCATGATTAGTACAATTAAGTTGTCAGACTGGAACAAAGATGTATTGTTATTCTGTTAAATGTGGTATTCATGTTTTTAATAAATGTGAAATAACAAACAATGACATGTCAGCGATTTAAAAAATTATACCACACAACTTTGCAGTCATCCTGTCTTCCAGTTGAATTAAAAAGCTTCTATGTCTTGCATACAGCATTCACTTTCCCTTTTACAGCTGAAGATAAGTGCTTGCTGGGTTGGAGCTTGTTAAATTTCAATTAGAAATACTTCATGAGTCTCATGGACAATGGCTTAGACTAAGTATTCATTTACTGATGTATAGTCTGTTTACTCAGGGTAGATAATACCTATTGCTATTTTTCTTTATCCAATAGTAAAAGATTTTTTAAAAAGAGGATGTTTCTTTTAAAGCAGGGATTACAAAACAGGATCAATTTGATTAAAAACTCCACATCTTACATTCATCTCTCTGAGTGAGACATAAGGCATAAGCATCTTCTAAGATTGACATCCAAATTTTCAGCATTTATAGTTTCCCAGATGATAATTAATTTAACTCAACCAAAAGATTACATGATAATTAAACTTTAAATCTAGAACTCTCCACTTATCAAGATTCTGTTCATGGCTATCAAATTCTAGGTTCCTGAAATATGAATAAGTGCTATTGCTGCTTTTCATGTGTTTGGTGTTATTTTGGTAGTTACTTTTTACAACCACCTTCAAACATCTACCAGTGTGGGCTTCAAAGGCTTTGATCTCCTGCACTTAAGAGATTAATTCTTTGCTGTGCTTTGAATATGAACATGGAGTTATTGATGCATCCCCCCATCATTTTAAAATCCCCCCAGGCATTTTAAATTTGCTTACTGACTCTGTTACTGGTGATGAATTTTAACAATCTAGTAGTTGTCAACAATCTGATCATCTTTTCCTGTGAGCCATAGTTCTTCATCTGGTCCCTTTGTTGTTTTTCATTTTTTAAATTTAAATTGAATTTATTGGTACATTCTATGTAGACAGTACAGTTACATTCATTCCTGGGATCTTGTAACTTTACATGACAGGTCTTGCTTCTCATTTTTTTCCCCTTGTCCCCACCCTCCCCTTCCCCCCCCTCCCCTCCCCACTTACAAACACTTTAATTCCATTTTTACATTTTCTCATATTTTTTTCCCTTTCCCTTATTCCCCTTCCCTTATTCTCCTCACTGTCCCTACACCTTTAGTCCTTTTCTTCCTTTTCATGTTGCTAATTAACCGGTTAGGATCTTGAGTACTATTTTAGTTTTTCACATTCTACTTGGCTCAGTGTGAATGACATTTTCATATGTACACTTAATATGAATGTAATAATGAATTATAATTACATTGGGAAGTTGCACAAATGATTCAAGGCAAAATGATATATGCACATTATTTTATTTTTTGTTACCCAGTGTCTTAGTTCCTGAGACAAAATACCCGATACTCAAAGTTAAAGGTGGAAAGGTTTACTTGGCTCATAGTCCACAGAGGTTTCAGTCCCTAGTCAGCTGGCTGTAAGGCAAGGTGTCTTCAGCAGAGGGAAGTCACAGAGGAGAAACAGTCCATGGCAAAGCAGCAAAGGAAGAAGGTAGAAAGCAAGTGGCCAGCAACAAGCAGTGACACTAGTCCTCTTTCTGCCCCTTATATTCTATCCAGGTTACTCTCTTAGGGTGGGTAGCTCTCATACCCAGGGTGGGGCACCCTTAATCTTCCTCAGAACTGTGCCAAACCAATCAGTGGACTAATTTACTAATCATACACCCTCGATCCCACCTTCACATACTCTACATCCGGCCACCTTTGAAAAGCCTCACCTATGACCTCATGAGGTTGGGGGGAGGCATCTAGATACAAGCCATAACACCCAGCCTTGGGTACTTTATTATGGGAATGGAGAATGAACTCATATACATGATAAATAAGATGAAATTACTTTAAAATGTGGAGGTGATGTACCTCTCAGAAACATACTAGAAAAAATAAATTTAAAAAAAGCGAAATGAGGTAAAATCAGAGGGCTGATAATCTATGAAACTTGCAATATTATTTGACATTTCAACTGATTGTAAGTTAAAGGAAATACAATTCAATAAGGCCTGTCCAATGTCCAGGTCAAAAAAAGATGATCAAAACATACTGAACAGCAGCACTGAAGCCACACAGCCTGCATTTTAAAAGTAGCTGCCTTCTTATAAACCAATTTATTTCAAATACCTTATGTAGTATTTAATATTTCATTCAGTCTGCACACTGTGTTTAATATTCACAATTTTATGACCTATTTCTCACTGAGATAATGAAACAACCATATTTCTCACATAATGGAAAATCAAATTTGCTGCTTGCTTGAATATAGCCTATTGCCTTTTTATTGGGACTAAGGTCAACAGCTCAGAATTGGGACAGCCAATTTAGGAACCATTGGCCCATTCTTAATAGACTATCCCCTTGTTTCTGATTAGAAAGTGACCTATTTCTTAGACTTCAAATTGGTATCCTGGGTCATCAGGACTTTAATTTGACCTGAAAATGAATTAATTAGTTGGAATGTATCACTAACATAGAAAAATAGCTCAAAATTCACCATTCTCCAAGTGTGTCTAATAAAATTTGGGCAAAGGGCCTCAACCCTGACCAAGGGAACACACAGTTACCAACAAATCTTCACTTCTATGGCATGGATGTTCCACTTGTACCATTTTGATCATCTCCCTCTCTCTAAGAGAGAGTTTGAAGACTTTGTTTTTTCAGCAAAAGTCTTCTATGTGGCCCCAGCACTCATAGTTTTGAAATTCTAGTTTGATTCCTCCTGCTCTTCTTTTCTACTCCATTTTTGCTTCCTATTCATCTCTCTTTGTGGGAGCCCACTGGCATTTGACATTGGAAAAGTAACTTCTACCATTGAGGCATTGACACAATCTATGACTCTATTTGGCTTTTCTGAGATGAGGGTCTCAGCTATGCAGATGAGATTGACCTGGAGCTCTCTGTGTAATCCAGGCTGAGCTCACTGTGTAATCCAGGCTGGGCATATGGGATTATCCAGGCTGGGTTTATGGGATTACGGGTGTTGACCTGGAGCTCACTGTAATCCAGACTAGTTTTATGGGATTACGGGCATGCACCACCATGCCCGGCTCAAGGACTTTGTTAAGTTTGACCTTTGATCTCCTCCCTAATAT